GTCGCTTGGGCGAAGCCCAAATGACACCGGACGGTTTTAGCAGCCTTTGCACGGAGTGCAGGGTTGCGATGAGCAGATAAATTCGCAAAAGTTCAATGCGAACGTGCAGGGGTTTATGATGTGAGGTAGATGATTTGATTGATTAGTAAGGTGAGCAGCCGGCATACTTGTTCCGCACCGCTCAGCACCTTGAGCATCCTGCTCAACACCAACCAGTGCAAGTTGACGGGGCCGGGCAGGAAACTCTGCACTCCAAAGCCTTCACTCATGAATAAAGGGAAGAAGCCCTAAACCCTGAACCCTGAATAAAGCAGTCCGGAATTCGGCTATGAACCCCTAAGCTGAGGCCGGACCGGATATGGGCGACATGGTGGAGGTCCAGGTGACAGTAGATCCGGATAGGTACCTCTAGTCTCACGGTTTAGGGTTTACGGCCTAGGGTTTAGGGTTTAGGGTTGTTTCGATTGTAGTTCTTCTTTGTTACCGCATTCAAGGTTTTTTGGTTAACTCAGAGTCTATGCTGGAGGTGTGGGCCGGTGTATTGGGATGGCAGGTGTTTCTCTTACAAGGACAGGGCGGGGGAAACTTGTCTTGAGGGTTAAATGGGTAGTTTTCTAAATTAGGCGTCCTCTTTCAGGTCCCCACAATAGTACGCAAGGCTTATAAACAGGACCCTAAAAGGGACCCTAACTTAGAGAACTTCCCAGATAGAACCCTCATAGTACCCTTATAGAAACCCTTACAGATCCCTTGAAGGAGCCCGAAAAGGTACCCTAATTTAGAGAAAAGAACTTAAACCCTAAACCCTAAACCCTAAACCTTAAACCCTAAACCCTAAACCCTAAACCCTAAACACCCTCACCCACAAACCCTGAACACCATCCAAGGCTTCTCCTCGCTCCGTGAGCCAAACGTCCAGCCTAAATTCAAGACGGCGGAAGAGTTAGGGTTTAAGGGTTCAGGGTTTTTAGAGGGTTTAGGGTTTAGGAAGCTTAGGGTTGAATGAGTGTTTAGGGTTTTTAGAGGGTTTAGTAATGAAAGAGGGTCTGGGGTTTTTAGGGGGTTTAGGGTTTAGAGTTTAAAGAGGGTTTAGGGCTTTTAGAGGGTTTAGGGTTTAAAGAGGGTTTAGGCGTCAGGGTTTAGGGT